TTTGTGTCAAATTTATAACGAAGAAATATATAAAAGTATTCTTCTTGATTATTGTAATGAATATCAACTTAAAAATTTGGAAGAAGCATCCAAAGAACCATTTGGATTAACTGAGAAGACTTGTGATGTGTTAATTGGAAGCGGAACTTCAACAAAACAAACATTTTCATTACCAATTGATTATGTTGAGGAAGATAAAATTGATGTATTCATGAAAGAGGTAAGAATGTTTATGAAACAAACAACCTCAAAATTCGACATCATTTCAGTTAAGTCAAAAAATCAATTGTTGAATTCAGCTATCATAATACTTGATAAAGAAGTATCAAAAGAAGTAAATATAGAAAAATGTATTAAAAGTGGAATTTGCACTCCCAATAATATCATCCGTGTTTTTAGAGAAAATGGTATAGTAGCACCTGGAAAGGCTCGAATATACAAATACTTTAATTTGAACCGGTCTTCTTTTGTTAAAAAAGTTCAACAACAACGAGATAGAATAAAAAGGTTGGTGATAAAACGAACTAAAAATATCCCAAAGAAAGTGGTATTCAATGCCAAAAAATTGTCAAAATTCCATAAAACAAAGTTTTCAGCTACAACAGTCAACATAATACGAAAAAATAACTTTACATATAAAATTTCACCGAAAAACCACTCCTTTCTTTAAAAAATATATTGGATAGAAAACGCTTTGTAACTGCTGAATTGAAAATGATTCAAAATATCGAAAAAAGTGGGAAAAAAACCTCGCAAAATCGTGTATGCAGATGAATGTAGATTTTGTCTTGTGAAAGATTGTCGATCCAAAATGTGGATCCAACCACATTCTGAAAATTCAAATATTACACTTTTCTTTCAAAACACACTGCATCTGTGATGGTTTTTGGAGCCATTGGTCCTAATTATAAAAGTAAGTTAATTTGGTTGCACGGAAAAATCAATGCAGACAAATACATACAAATGTTCAAAGAAAATGATTTAATCAATTCTACTCAAAAGAAGTGTGGGAAAAATCCATTTTTATGCAATACAACGCCCCTCCACACAAATCGAAAAAAACACTAAAATATTTCAATGACAATAAATTTACATTACTTCAGGGATGGCCAGGAAACTCCCCAGACCTCAATCCAATTGAAAATGTCTGGTCAATAATTAAAAGACGAATTGAGATTACAGCTGGAATGAATGAAATGGAAATTTTTCAAAATGTTGAAAAAATGTGGAATAAAATAAAATGCAAAGAAATAAACACACTTATTGAATCTTATAAAAGGAGACTTGAAATTTGTAAATTTAATCACTTTCAAACGATCAAACAGTGGTGAAATTAATAAGATGATTATAATTAAGTTTTCATATGAAAAACATTTAATATTATATGTTTTTATGTTGTTTGTTATAATATATAATTTATGTTGTAAATAATTGTTCGTTATATATTTAAACTTTTACAAAATAATTTAACAATCGAAATCATTTTTGGGAAGTTATAATTTAAAAAGTGTCTCAAAAAGGTATTTTGGTAAAATAAATAAATAATAAACCTTATTTCATAAAACGGACCACTAAAAATGGTCCAATTAAATATTTTTATAACTACACATACAATTTTTATTTATATTAAAGCTGTATTTTTTCTTGTTATTTTTTCAAATTATTATATTTTAAAATAGTAACAAAAATGTATTTAAAACCTGTGAGCATTGTTCATTAGCCTGGAAATAGACACATATTTATTTTTTCTGCACAAAAGTAATCTTTTTGGATAACTTTCAACAGGACGATTAATTGTTGCTTGTGATATTTTGTCCCATGATTCTTTCAACTTGTCAAAAATTTCCATTTTTGAATCTCCCATTGATATTATGGTGTTTTTTTCATTATTCCCCAAAGATGTTCAATGGGATTCAAATCACAAGAGTTGCCAGGCCAACCATCAAGTACAGAAATACCTTTTGAATATAGAAACTTGAGAGTGTTTTTGTCTCGATGTGCTGGTGCGCCGTCTTGCATGAAACGGAAGTGTTTTCTATATTTTTTAATTCAATTAAAACACCCGAATCATTAAGCATGTGGACATAACTATCTTGGTTTAAAATTTCTTCACATAAAACCAAACTACTTTTAAAGTTGTACCCAATGGCACCAAAAACCATGACAGATGAACTGTGTTTGACCGCTTTAAAATATGTATTTTTTGACAAATTATTTTTATTTATCCAAAGACGTTTTCCCCATCTTTGCAATAACAAAACCGACTTTCATCGGAAAATACAGTTGTAATTTTAGTTTTTCTTGTTTTTCCGACATTTTTAGAATTTAAAGAATTGAACAAAGAAATTTCTTTGTTGACAAGTATTTTTCTGTCTCTTGTGTTTTTGTGTGATAAAAATTGTTCAACCTTTTGTTTTTTAAAACAAAAATTTTGTTGTTTTCTAATTCTAAAAACAGATGATTTGGATAATGGATTTTTATAATACCGACTTATTGCTTTTGCACATTTGTTACAACTTTCTTCTGGAAATTTATTTGTTCTTTTTATTATATGTTTTTCCATTAACACAGATTTATTTGGTCTTCCTCTTTTCATGATTTGAATGTCTGGATAAATTTTCATTGCGCGTAGTAAACGCGTTTTACCAGGTGATTCCATATTATTTTCACGAAACATTTTTATTATTTCTGTCGAACTTCTTATACCATTGTCCATACTTTTTTTAATATTTAACTCTTTTGATTGTTTTTTATCCAATTGAATTCTAGGAGGAAGTATTCGAAAAAATTGGAAGACTGATTACCCAACATCAACATTTTGTTTTCAAGTATCTCCATTCTTTTTGTTAACTTTTCAATTGTAAGTTCTTGTTTAGATTTAATTGAATATCCAAAAGGCAAAAAAATGTTATTTTAGTTGAAGTTTGACCAACTAACACTTCAACATCTAGCTGATTAATAGAAAATGGCCCCATAGACATTGTTTCTAATAATTTGATTTTTTCTTCATCGAATTGATTGTCAAACACCGGTACGAATAAATCGTCTTGAAAAATTTGAGATATAAAACATAGCGGAAGCTGATTTATATTAATTGATAATCCTTTTTCTGTTATTTCTACAACCTCGGTTACAGTAAAAGGTTTCATTTGATATTTATCAGTTATATTACGATAACAAATTGATTAAATCAATAACATTGTCTGAAATGTTTTTGTGATAAAAAAGAAAATCTTTGTGGTAAATTTTCAAATTTGACTTTATTTTTGGTCATTTTAAATGTTTTAATGGAGTTTGATGTTTAAGTTGTCGTTTAATTATTATTATTTTCCCATTTCTTTTTTTTAAATTATTAAATAATTACATACTTTATTATTATTTATTTTTTTAGTATTATTTTGGCTGGAATTTTATACATTTTTTTGTGGTGTTTTGTGATGATTTTGAATTTTTAATTTAAAAATATACTATATTATACCGTTAAATTTGAGGATTTTTACCTAAAAAAAGAAACTCTGATAATAACAACAATACATTTTTTATATTTTTTATTGTTTTTTTAAATTTAAAAAAATTAATCAGACCGTTTTCTATGATAAAAACAAGGTCCGAATTATTTAAGAAATTTAAGCTGAAACCTATGTAAGTTGAACAAAAAATAGTATTTTTTCATATTGTTAAGAAAGTCTCTGAGTAAGTAAAAGCACTTTTATAAAATAAAAAAAGAAGAAGAAACACGAAAAGGTATAAAAATAACACTGGGTCCGATTTTTGAAATAAGGTTTAATAATAAATAAAAAAGTACTTTTGAAACATTATTTTATTTTCAAAAAAACAGACCAAAGAAAAAGTCCGGTTTTTGATTTGTGGTATATAGTGATGTTACTTCCGAGTTGAGACGCACACAAAATGTCATTAAGTTAGAGGGCAACAGTGAAGTGTTGGCAGGGCATGAAGGGTCACCAACACATCGGGACATATACAGTTTCGGTGACATCATGATCGTCAATGGTAGCATAGAAACATTGGTTTCAAAATAGTAAAGAGGGAAATTGATGTCACTCTTTATTGATGAATAAGTCAGCAACTAAATCATCAAAGTCATCGACCTGGCTGTTAAAAGAAATTTTGGGCTTAGACGCTTCCGATGAAAAACTGAACGGCTTGGTTTCATTTCTGATGTACTTTTTGAGGGTCTTTGATGAGTTGTATAAAGTACTTGGCTTTCTTCGACAGAGTGATGATGGGAGTTAAGGAAATTGTTATACAAAGCACGAATAGACTCCATAAGAAAAAGTGAAGAAACGACATTGTGAACTGGGGTGTAGAAATTATTCAAATCAACGACCATGTCAGTGAAGAAAACACTAAAGATATTTTTGGGGACAACTTGACTCTTCAGAAGTCACCAACACAACAACATAATGAAAGTACCTAAAAATAAGTTTGTGACTCTAACAGCACCACAAAGCCCTATTAACCCTCTTGAACTAAGAGAAGAAGACTCAAAGTCACCACAACTGTTAGATTTAAAAAACACTTCTGTGTCGCCAGAAACAAGAAACTACTTGTTTTGTGTCCATTGATGTTCATAAGTCCTTTCACTCTTAGAAGTAATTACTGTTTCAAAGAGAAACATTCTGGACATCACGTCAGACTTCCTGTGTAAATTTCTGTCCCTTTTAAAACTCTATTTGCCTCTCTTCTCTGCTCTATTACATCTGATCACAACATTCTCATTCACATCACAGAGCTTTTGTGTGGAAATTTTTGATAAGGCGGATGTCCTCAAAAGACACTCCCGTATCTTCTTGAAAAAAGACACGATAGACTCTGTATTGTCTTTGTTACTTCACATAACATCAGCGGGCAAAACCACATCTAAATATCTGATAAAGACCACACAATTTACTTCTCAGTCACTTTGAAACACTTTTCAGTGTTAATGTCAATCATTCAAGCCTCATTTGTTTCTGAAATTAGACAAAGCGAATACGACAATGTTATATACACCGTCTCTATATGTCTATTGTTTTCACCAATACCAGACACTGCGAAGTGCAGTCTTAGACTCCAACGAGGCGTTAGAAAGTTTATTCAAATGTGTAGTACTTCCGATGGCGAGGTTAGAACGAGATGAAACAAGAGCAGAGGGACGTTTTTGGGGAGATGATACATTCTTTCAATGTTAATCAAAGAAGTTGGCGACTTCTTTGAAGTCTTTATTGACTCAATGAATATCCAAAGTAGTGGAAATTTTCATTGTGAGCTTTTCACGGTTATGGCACTCAAATTACGGTTGTTAGTTAACAAGTTAGGGAAGGAGAAAGTGTCTCTCTGTTACCCTGAGTATTACACGTTCTTGATGGACGTTGTACATTGTATTATTATGGTGCAGACATTTCTTTTGTTGAACAAAATATCGCGGTAACGATTAGAATCTATGTGGAGCGCAAAGAGTAAAAAGTAAACACAATGACTTAATGTGTGTTCAAATCATGGTTCGTTTCTAAATACAACTGTTGAGCTGTTCAGAAAACAAACATTTGGTTTCAGTCATCTATCAGTTGCAAGGTAATAATTATTTCAGCAAAAAAGCTCAGAGCGAGACGTGTGTGTCGTCGATATTTGCATTTCTGTTGATGAAATATCCAGCGTGCTGCGGCATAATACTTCAACAAAGCACTTAAGAGACCAGAGAGTTCTTTAATTATAACAACCAAGATATTCAAATCGTGTTATCGATACGTTTTAAAGGGATTTGGCGATGTTCTATATCCAACAAGAAACTTGCATGCACGTGGTTCTGATGCGTGGGTAGCATCATAAAATTGGGCGGTGTAAACATTTAATGGGTTCAAGTCAAACGATTAAAAGTCATATTAACGTCGTAACAATATTTTTTGATTGGTTTGAAATAATCATGTTGAAAAGACAAAAACTATTTATATTTTAAATTAATAAAATTATTAATTTAATTTTAAAAATTATAAAATAAAAAAAGTTTATCAAATAAATCAAAAAGATGGTCGTAATTGAAGGTATTGACAAGGTTCGGGAAATTTTGATATTTTACATACAAAAATATTTTTTTATGTTTAAAAAAATTTATCTTATAATTGCATTTTTTCTTCTTTAAAAAAGGAACTAATCTCAAAAAGATGTCTTAAGTAAAAATAGGTTAGTGGTAGCCAATATTAATATAAACAATAAATCTCATATAAAAACACCAAAATATTCTAAACCCGTAGTTATACGTTATTTTAAAGAAATATTGTGCAAAAAGTTGTTAATTTTTATAGGATTTTTTAAAAAAGGCTGATCAATAACATTAATTTTGAATAACAAATTTATATATTTATACAAACATTGAAAGTACATTAACAAAATGTATAAATAAAATGATAACATGTCATAAATGAAGAAACCAAAAAGTATTTTTGAAATACGAAAAGTTTAATGTTTTTGTGTTGGTTTGAAATTTGAAACAAAACATTATACAAAATCAATCGTTTATCAATAAAGTCAATTCGAACATGCCATTCAGTCTAATCAACATAATTTGATAATATCATATATCCGCATGTCTACTGTTGATATGAATCTGTTGTCAATTTAAGACAGAACATTTATAGTAAGGTTTTCACATTGGGCCAAAGTCATTGGTTAAGTCTGTGTGTCAGTGAGTAGTAATCAAGTCATTGATGCAAACTTGTGTATTAATCTTATTACAAATATGTTTCAAAGTTTAAACAGAAAAAACATGTTAAAAACTAAAAAGAATAATAAAATAATCATTAAATTTACAAATCTCCAAGAGATAAAACAATCAAAAATTCCAGAAAAAACAGAAAAAAATCAAATAATTAACTTTTTGTTCTATATTTACATTTTTATGATAAATTTTATTATTATTATAATATAAATATATTAAATTAATAATTTCAATAAACCTGTTATAAAATATTATAAACCACATATAAACTATATCATTAATAATATTACAACCATTATAAATTATTGTTTTTATTCTAATTATTAATAATAACAATAGAAATTATACATATAAACTTGAAATTTAAATATAATTTTATATTTATATTTTTTTATTTTATTTGTATTTTATTTGTATAAAATTTTATAAAATTTAAATAAAAATAAAATAATGACATTGCATTACATCAAGTTATTTATTGTACAAACTTGCTAAATCAAACATTTAATCATTTATAACAAGTAACTTTTATACTTAAACGTCCACATGTATATTAAAACCGCCAAAATGAAATTTTTTGTTATAATTTAGACTTACAAAAAGTCTTTTGAATATTGTTTGTATTTTCATATTTACTTTTGTAACTCGTTTGACACTCGAAAAAAACCTTTCCACTGATACTGATGTCGGAGGAATGGAATATAAGAAACAAAGAATACCATATAAAAAGGGGTTTTCTTCTTTATTTAAGGGATAAGAAGTTAGATTGAAAGTGTCCTTAAAATCTTTACCACGTAACTCCATTTCAAATTTTGAAAGATGTTTTTTATTTTGTATTTCTTCTCTTTTTTCATCAATTTTTTCTTGTTTATTGTAATATTCATTATAAAGTTTTTTCCCATATTTTTTAATTTCTTCTTCGTATTTTTTGTATTTATTAGGAATTTGAAATTGGAGTGTATTTATCATAATTTCTGGTAAATTAAATATTTCTAAAATATCATCAATTTTTGATTTGAATTTTGAAATTATTGGTTCTCATAAATTATTATAGTCATCTTCACTGGGCGATACACTAACAACATTTACACTTCTTAATGGATTTGTGTATCTTAATAATCATCTGACGTAAAAACCGACATCACATGTTTTACATCTTTTAAATCAACTTGATAATCAGCCTTTTGGAGTAAAGGGAAATGTTTTAATTTCTCAAATTGAATTATATCACCCCATAACTCGTCTGTTATTATTTGTTTGACATATTTTTCAAACAAATGTACCAATTCGATGTTATACCAAATTACAGCTCTTCTTGTTTGAAGACTTCGATTAAAGGGAACCATTATCCTGGTTATATCATATGTAAGATCAAAGGCGAATCTAATATAATTATTTGTCAAATCAAACGTGTTGTGTGTATTTTGAGGTGTTTCTGGATGATTATTATCAACATAAATTACCTTTGATTTTTTTGTAAATATCTTGAATGGCGATTTGGTTTGTTTCAATTTTTAAAAAATTGTAAATAAATTCAATTTGTTCTAATATGGCACCAATATTAATGCCAATATATTCCCATCGTGTTTTACAATACACTCCATTTGTTTTTAATTTCTGTTTGGGTTGTTGTTGTACATACAATTTGTATTTATCAAGAATGGTTTTTGTACAAAATCATTGCATAAAAGTAACGAAGATATCGAGAGGATGAATATGTAATGTGTTTCCATCAACAGAATTGCTTTTATGTGCCATACAAGTTGACCCAACAAACTTTTGCACTACACCAAAATTTTGTTTTTTTGTCTCGTTTTTGATGTTTTTCAACTCCTTTGACCATGCTATTAAATTCAGCACTCAAAACTGCATCTGTGTCACTACATATGGCGGTCCACTGAGACCTTTTGAGTCCCAAAGAAGAAACTCTTTCCGTGAACCATTTGCATATAGCGTTGGCGTTTTTATCAAATTCTTCATATTCTTTATAAAAAAGTGGACATTCAAAATATTTGTCATTTTCAACAACTCTAATGAATATACAATAAAATGAATCACTTCCAATTGAAATTTCATCCAAAGCAAAAGTAACTGCATTTGATTGTCTTGCTGTTGATAACATTCCTTGAAATCCACTTATAAAATCCCCCTCCGGTTCTTCTATACCCTTTCTGGCACTACATGCCATTTTCTTACACAAGTGAAGTTTATCAGGTGCTAAAAGTTTAAAAACTATGTTAAGGATTGAAACCACATCTTTTCGATGTGATTCTGACATTCGATTTGAATTTAAAATTCGATTTATTAAATGTTGACTCAATTTAATTTTAAAATTTTCAATTTCCATTTTAGATAAATTTCCCTTATCTATCCAATTTTCATCATCATTATCATAAAAAAGTCTATTGCTTCTACACAAGATTTATATTCAAATTTGCCATTTTCGAAACCAATTCTAATTAAAATATCATATAAAGAACGCCAATCGGCTTCATCATGAAAAGTTTGACGGACTTCTTCCATTTCATAAAAATCAACCTTTTCTGTTAAATTTTTAATTACTTTTTTCTTTTAACCGAAAAGGCTTTAATAAAAGTGTTTGGTGGGTTATTTAATTCTATTCTAATTATATCACTTTCACTTTTATTTTCTTTAAATTCTTCTGTCTGCATAAATACATTTAAATCATTATTTTCATTTTCTTGTGTTTCAATTTTTTGGTTGTTATTTCTTTTCCAGAGAAATTTTCGTTTTGATTGTTATTTGTGTCAATTTCCATTACTTGTTTGTTATTGAGATTATCATTGCTTTCCATGAAATTGTCAATATCAGGAGTTGTAGATGCGGTATGTATATCATATAAAATATCACTATCATCTGACATTTCTTCATTTGAAGTACTTAAACATGATGAATCATTGTCTTCATTTGGTAAAACAACAAGTTCTTCTTCTTCCATTTGAAAAGATCCTATTTTTGTCTGGTTAATTGTTTTGATTGTTTAAATAAAGTTGATTCCAAATTTAATAATTTAGTTTCATTTCTAAAAAGAACATCATTTTCAGGTGTAACATTCAAAGGTGTTAAATTTTGATGATAAAAATTATTGTTTGAATACTTGGTACAATCAAGAAATTGAAGAGATACCAAATTTCGTAATAAATTTCTAACATTTTTTGTTGAATAAAATTTGTGTTTTTTATCATTATTTATTTTTTGAATTAATTGGGTTTGAAGTTGATATTTATTAAAATCATAATTTTCAAAATACATATTTCCAAGTTTTTTAAAATTTTGCAACTTTTCTTTGACGTATGCTATTTCATGAATATAATTATAAATGGGGGTTATTAGGGTTGGTTGTTTCATTTAGTTTCTCGTCTTTACGTAGCCACATTTTACAATCGAAACAATAATAATAATATTGTTTTTTGCATTTTTGATAAGAGTGGTCTAATTGTGCAGTTAAATACCCATGTAGTAAATTTTTTGCAATTTTTTCGTCAATAGGAAATGATATATCAAAATCTTTACCATACATGTTATTTTTAATATGTTATTATAGTTTTACACTCTTTAAAAATCAAAACATAATAATGAATTGTTAAATCTTCTCTTGACATTTTAAATAACTTTTATTGAAATTCAAGTGGTCTAAAAACGAAAAATTTGGGTTTATTTTATAATTTGTTTTAGTATTTTTCAAGTTTATATTA